GAAAATAGTAATATGGATAATGCTGGTGTATGCGCAGATCATCTTTGCTTGAACAGATGCCTGTATTGGATGAAGCTAATTATTTGGTGAAGAGAGCTGCTTCTATACAGGCTGCAGTTTCATTTGTAAATTCTGCTCCAGCAGCCACTTCTGGAGGCCCACTTAAGCTTCCAAATGGTGTAGCAAAGCCACCAGCAGCTCCTTTAGCTGATTTGCTTGATTTGAGTTCTGATGATGCTCCAGTGACTACTTCGGCCCCTACTACAGCACCTAATGATTTTCTACAGGATCTGTTGGGCATTGGTTTGACTGATTCGTCTCCTATAGGTCTTACACTAACTATTTTCCTTTCTTAATGATTTGCTTCTGCTGCTTGTTGGTTTGCACACAAAGCACATCATGCTTTATCATATGTTTATTATTTCTCGCCACATAGTACACATTTGGCTTTAATTTATGCCAGTAGTGCAACAGGTTTATTATTTCTCAACACATAGTCCAAGTTTTGTTTTAACTTATGCCAGTGGGTGCATACCTTCCTGTTCTATAAATAGGGTTAAACCTTGTTGAGTGCATCTTGTTTGAGACAGTTAAGATCTGTTAATTATGCATTTATGCTGGTTGTAGTGACATTGCTAGCTGAAATGTTGCTTATGAGTTTGTTCTGGTCTATGTCTAGGCGGAGCTCCGTCTACAAGCACTGACATTCTGATGGATCTTCTATCTATCGGTTCATCTCCTATACAAAATGGCACACCAACGTCAAACTTTAGCCTTCCTGCCATAGGTAAAAAAACTGTCTGTATGGACAATTTGTTTTTTGAGTTTTTGTCATTTGTGCTTATTTGTCTGACACCATGTTGCAGAGACTAAACCTGTCCCTGTTACACCTCAAGTTGTGGATCTTCTTGATGGTTTGTCCTCAAGCACATCTCTTCCTGGTCAGCTCCTAATGCTTGATTATCTGATATAAGGAAAAGTTGCGAATACCCCCTAAAAGTCACTGAGTTTGATTTCCCTTCCATATCAAACTTAAGGTGACTTCAAAGGCGGCTTTTGCGTTTTCCTACTGACTACTGATTAGTAACCTTCCCCATAACCAACGAAATTTACTGTTACTCAATTTGCATGTTTGCCAGATGAGAATGCAGCTTACCCTACAATCACAGCATTCCAGAGTGCAACCTTGAGGATCACATTCAGTTTCAAGAAGCAACCTGGAAAACCTCAGGAGACTACAATTAATGCTTCTTTCACAAATTTGGCAACCACTACATTCACAGATTTTGTCTTCCAGGCAGCCGTGCCAAAGGTAGCATTCGCCCCTGAGATTCCTCTGACACTAATCTCATTCTCGACAACAGAGATCTTAAATAGTCAGCCGTACTGACCAAGTTGCTAAGTTTCTGTTGCAAATCTTGTAATCACTCAACTGATTGTTATAGGGTGAAAACCCATATATGATGAAATTGTTCACAGACAAGATATGTTTTTAACTGACATTAAAAGGGCTGTAGTTTCCTAACATTTGATGTTTTGCTCACCTCTGTTGCCCTGTGTTTCAGTTCATCCAATTGCGTTTGGACCCAGCTAGCAGTAGCACTCTTCCCGCCAGTGGAAATGGGTCAGTCACACAAAGCCTCAGTGTCACCAACAACCAGCATGGGCAGGTATGTCACCCCCTCCCCCTCCCCCTCCCCCTCCCTCTTCTTGAATGTGGCGTAACTTTGTTTCCTTGAATGTGGCGTAACTTTGTTTCCTTTTTTTTTTAAAACGTCTGAACCAATATGATATTTTAGAGATTGTAATTGGTAACTCAGCTTTTGCATGTCCCTATGAAAATGATGCATCAAGAATAGTGTCTGATACAGTTCCTTTCAGTTGATAATGAGTTTTCTTAATGCAAGCAAAGCCTAACACACTGATGAATAGTCTGATCATGGCTTGTGCTTGAAGTTTGTTCTTGAATTTTTGTCTATCCATTCTGATTCTGGACTGTTTGCCTCATAGAAACCACTTGCAATGCGTATCCGGATGTCTTATAAAGTGAATGGTGAGGTCAGGCTGGAGCAAGGTCAAATCAGCAATTTTCCTGCTGGGCTGTAGTGCCACCTGTGTCTATAGGGTTGGGGGTGCTCTTTCAGCGTGCTGCAGGCAAGGCGTTCGTATTCTTGTTCCTGACCATTATTCTCACTTCTGCTTGCCTGCTAATGAGTTGTGTACACTGGTAGTTGGTTTTGGCCGTCCATTCTCTTTATATATAGTGTACAGTAGATGGCAGCGATTAATGATATATCCTCAGTTTTGCCGAAATGTATTTATATGTTGGTGTATATTGGACTAAAGGGTAACCAAAATTTTCACCCTTTTCCCCACATACCAAGCATCAAAGGAATGTGTTGTATCATGATTTTTCCCAATGTAATTATTTATTTTTCTAATCAAGCTCGTACAGGCTTATTGTGCACAGATAAATTATTTGTTTTTCATGTGTGTTCCTTCATGTGTTGTTCGGCTGATGATTTCTGTGGCTGATAAGCTAGTTTTTTGTTGTGAGAGAAAAACACTGTCACATGGTAAATAAGCTGGGCTGATAAGTTCATTTGGTCCCAAGGTTTTTAAGTTTGACTTAGGAAATTCAGATAAATTTGGTCTGATTTGATGCTCCTCAACTTTATCTGGATGTACGGAAAGCACGATCTGTTGCCCACTCGAGTTTTTCTGGGTGCGTTGTCAGGCATTTGCGCTGCGCATGATCCTTGATGGTCAACATCAGACTGATTGCACGAGTGCAGTGTGTCAAAATCAGGGGCCTTGTTTGATTATAAATTTTTGCACTGAAGACGAGTGCGTTTGTATTTGACAAACTTTGTTCGATCAACTTCAGCAAAAGATCTGTGATTTACAACCAAACTGTGTAATTAGTTATTTTTTTTACCTACATTTAATGCTTTTACCATCATGTTTCATGCATGTGTTTGATGTCGCCAATCATATTTGTTTCACTGCTCCAGACATCCTGTAGTAACAGTACTCAGAAGCCTTTACCATCATTTCATTTGTCGCCCATATTTGTTTCAGGCATGTGTGCGTGCCTTGGTTAGCTCATTCCAACTTTAACCCTCTGCTTTTACCGTCGGCGCCCCAACTTTTAGACTCGGTATCTGTATTTAATCACCTCAATAATTCTCCATAACTTCTTGACTAATTTTACATGTATTAAATGCTGTTTGGTACTACCAGTACTGACGTCCTGTTTGGTGCTGCCAGTTAATTAGCACGGGCCAAGCATGTCAAAGCCGAAAGCATCTACATCCTGTCATTTCATGACACGATCGCACAACCAATTTGCCAAGCTGTGTTGTCGCAATTGAAACCCAGTGGAGCGGTGCAAATCGCTAATCACTGAGCCGTGCAACGGGCACATTGAATTCGGCACTGTGATGGCGAGGCATCTTTCTGTTTGGTTGGCTGGTTTGTTTCGTTGTTGGTTTGTGAAGAAGTACTACTGGCTGATTTATGTGAGAGAAAAATACTGTTTTGGCTGAAAATTTACGATCGTTTACGACAAGCCACAGCCAAACAAACAGGCTGCCATCACATTGAAAGGTTAGCAGTACTTTCTGTCCGTTTAATCAGCCTATTTACTGGTTGATTTCTGGACTGATAAGTTCAGCTGATCCTTATTGTGAGAAAAAAATACTGTACCATATCTGATAAACCCTGACCGTAACCAACCAACCAATCAACAAACTGAATACCGGATACGGACACATAACCGCAGACGCTTAGGACCAGGGCCTCACATGCTGCTGCTGCTGCTGTCAGGAGCGGGGTGCTGCTAGGCTAGACGATAAACACGCCCTGTACAAAACCCATCCATCGCTCTCGGGGCGATTCAGAGACGCTCCAGTCCCAAGTTAGCAAACCTGGGACGTGTCTGATTAACTATTCTTATTTTCGCCCCGTTCCTGCAGCCGTTTTCTAATCGGATTGCTGCAGCTTTACTGTTTCTGTTGGTGTAGATCGCCTGCAGAATCGGCGAACAATTTGGCAGATGCATCAGCCGGCAGGCAGCAGCCAGCTTTACTAGTCACGGGAACAAGCCGGCAGGCAGCAGCCAGTCATGAAAAAACCTCTCCTGTAACATCACATTACTACTTGCACCGCTGCAACGTCAGTCAATCCTAATAAAGCTGCTTTGATTCGTCATCACGGCGACCTAATTTTCGGTGCTACTAGTATCTTTCATGGCTCTGCGAAAATGGAGTGGTTGGGCTGGAACGAGTCCGATCCTGTGCTGTAAATTTCCTCGCTTCCTCCTCTATTTTTCAAAGAAAAGCCGTGAGCGTGAACGGATTGCGAATTCTATGGGTGCAAGTGTACGGTCCCTTCTGCTTCACAAGTCCTTGTGGTGGCTTGAACATTGAGCAACAGTACTAGCGTACAAACACTTGCTTGCTAAGGCAAGAATCTGCCATTAAAACTAATACTGTTTCGAAACAGTGTCCTCGCAAAATAAAATTAAGAGTGTGACCAAGAAGACAAAAAATAATGCTGATCACGGATTGGTACCTCAAGTTAGCAAGGGCAATTTCGTCTCTACACTAATCTTGTAGTAAAACTTAGGGGTATCATTTTCCCAAGTAGAATTTTGTTGTTATATAGATTCCCACTGAAATGTGAGCAAAGACGCTGGCCAATGGCAAATGAATGAACGGCAACACAAAAACTCACAATCCCATGCTAATTCTAGATGGGATGCTTTGTTGAACATCAGAACATGGTATAATCAGCACACTCAAATTTCATCTTCATCATGCACCTAGAAAGCCAAGATGACCACCACCACCACAACTCCACAAGCAAATGGGATTTACTAGTAAAATAAGATAAACGAATGCCTATGAACAAATTCTTCAGCGGTTAAACGGGCGAGCAAATCAGCTCAATAAAGTTTGGAGCACGCACCACCACACACGCTTTCTTTGTGTCACGATTCACGAATCCCCGAGACTAGGCCTCTGCCACGGCAGCCTGCCGTTCATGTTCATCGCCGGCGAGTCATCGGACGCGAGTACGGGAAGCTTCCCCTTGCCGTTCCGCGGCCACTGCCAAATCTTGGACACCGAGAAGCTGTCGCCCTTGCTGCCCGCGCCGATCCTCTTCCCCTCGGTGCCGCCGCCGCCGCCGGCGGTCTCGGTGCCTGCGGGGTTGGAGCCCACGCCGACACCTCTGAGCCTCGCCCCGGCCCTGGCATGGCCGTCGCCGTGCCTCCTGTGGACGGACACCTGGAGGCTCGCCTCCGCGAGGACGTACTGGTAGGAGCCCATGGAGTAGCACCGCCTGGCGTCCAGGCTGCTGCTGCTGCTGCTCGTCTCGCCGTCCTCCATGGTCACAATGCCGGCGCCGTCACGGATGGGGCCAGGCGCCGCCCTGGACAGGTTTTTGAACTTGCCGAGGCGCACGGGGACCACAGCGTGCTCGTGCTTCCAACCGCCGCCTTCCTCGTCGAACCCGTCGACGAACAGCGCGGCGGCGTCGGCGCCGAGCGCGCACCGGCACAGCGGGCACGTGGAGTTGGAGAGCAGCCAGGTGTCGATGCAGTCGATGTGGAACGCGTGCCCGCACAGCGGCAGGAGCCGCAGCCGGTCCTCGCCGGCGAACTCGCACAGGCACACCGCGCAGTCGAACGGCTCCTTGGCGCCGGCGCCGACCACCACCTCCCGGTACAGGAACACCGGGAGCGCGTCGATGACGTCCTGGTCCAGCCCGGCGTCGTGCAGGTGGAACAGCTGCTGCAGCTGCCTCTGCAACGCGGACTCCTCCCCGCCGCCGCCCGCCGCGTTCACCCCACCGTCGGCCTCGTCCCGTGCGCGCGCGCGGCCGCGCCTGAGCAAGAGCCTGACCACGAGATGCAGCAGGCAGGAGACGAACAGCACCACGGCCGCTATCATCACGACGAACAGCACCGCGGGGCTAATCTTCGAGCCATGGCCGCCGCCGCCCCCGGAGGACGACGCCCCGCCGCCGTCCTGCTGCTTCTCGACTTCGCCGGCGACGGCGAGGCCCGTGGCTAATCCTAGCAGCAGCAACATCTCTCCCTCCTCGTCCTCGTCCTCCCTATCGACGCCCTAGCCCAATCTGCTGCGGGCAGCGCGCTGCTCATTTCGTGCACTAAACCCGAGCGGCTTTTTGAGCTGAGCTGAGCCTGAGCGGCTAGTAGGGGCAAGGGGCCAAGGCATTAGGCGATGAGGGAAAAGGCCAAGAGACCAAAGGCTTGTGAAGCGTGACGAGCCCATGCTTATATATGCATTTGGGGAGACACAAACACACGGCCACGGAAGCAACCAAACCAAACCTACAAAAGCAGCAGAGCATACGTGGCCTTTTCTTTTGCGAGCTGCAAAGGTAAAGGACTGAGCTAAGTCCACTAATCTCGTTCTTTTCTTTTGACATTTTGCACTAGGCCAAACCGTGACTTTTGAATAGCACTGATCAAAACCAAATTATTTCAACCACCATCCTAATCCTTTATACTATATATATCAGCTTGTCACATTTCTATACCTAATAATAAACTTGTATCTTAATAAAATAAATTATTTAAAAAAAAAGTGAGAAAGAACCCATATATAGTAGTGATCTTCATGTAACGAACCCGGATTCGCTGTCTGACATCAAAGTGAGAAAGATTGCGATCTCTGAACCTTTTCTGCAAGGCTGGGACTGCGTTCTTTCCTTCTCGTATTTGGGTTCCCACTTCCAGCTTTGGAATATGACTGGGCGGGCGATGCTGCAGTTAGAAGGCCGTTTTCTCGCGAAAAAGGTGCGTGGTGCCACTGTGCAAGGAACCCGGGCCGGCTGCGGTCTCGTCCTCGGTCCCTCGTGCGACGCAAAGAAAAGCCAAAAGAGCAAAGGAATGAATGCTCGGGGAGGCACCGGGCGCGCAAAAGGCGGGAAAATGATGGTGGCCGGGGCCGATGGCAATTTCTGTGGGACGTTGGAGCGTCGTCGCTTGTGCCGGTGGAGGGCTGGAGGTGGAGGGTGGATGGCAGCGTGCGGCTCGTTTTCAGCGGAATTCGGTGGACATTTCTGGTGTCGGATGAGATTTTTCGCTGCATTTTATCCATCGAAAGTCGTGTGCATCAGTTGCGTTGCCACTTGCCACACGTGTGGCTGAGCCTGAGGTCCAGATCGAGAGATCGGACCCCCCTGAGCCCTGACCACCACTCCTGTTGCCCATCAACCTCGGAACTTGGGACCGGATGAGAAAAGCCGTTGGGAAAGAGAGAGAAAAAAACTATGGTATCAATCCACAACTTAGCCCTGTTTAGTTCCTAAAAATTTTCACCCTAAAGTGTTACATCGAATCTTGCGGCATATGTATGGAGTATTAAATATAGATGAAAAATAAAACTAATTGCACAGTTGGGTGAGAAATCGCGAGACGAAACTTTTGAACCTAATTAGTCCATAATTAGATAATAATTGCCAAATACAAACGAAAGTGCTACGTTACCAAAAACCAAAAATTTTCGTCATCTAAACGCGCCCTTATGATTTCTCTCAACGAGTTGCATGAAGCAATCGACAGCAAGGTCAGTTATCTGACGGCCCTGACCTGACGGCCTCCCACCTGGCGGCGCCGGCCGCCTCCCAAGTGCCCCTCCCCTCCCCCTCCACCTCCCCTACCCACCCCACCACAGATGTCGCAGTATCTGGCACCATGGCGCCTCCGCGGGATCCGTGGCCGCTCGCGCGGAAGCTGGCGTCGGAAGCTGCCGCCGCCACCGCCGGCGGCGGACCTGAGGCCGTCCCCACTGGATCCAGCGCTTTGGCCCCTCCGTGGCCCTCCACGCAACCGCTGCCGTCGAGGTCGGGCTCCGCCGCCGCTCCGTCCACGTCGACGATGATGCCGGGCCCCACTGCAGTAGCCACCACCGGCGTCGAGCCCGCCCATGCGGGATCCACGGGCTCCGGTGCTCCAGCGCCCCCTCCGCGGCCACCTGCGCCGCCACCGACGCCGACGCCGGAAGCAGCCGCCGCGATCGCCACTGCCATCAGCAGCCGCTTGGTGGGTGTCCCCGCGGGAACCGGCATTCTAGTCTCTCCGCGGCCCTCCACGCCACCACCGAGGCCAGGCCCCGCCACCATCCTGTCCGCTGCTGCTACCGTGGCCATCACCACTGCGGCCGGCAAACGCGCTGAGGTCGCTGGGCCTGGTGCGGGCACCTTGACCGCTCGCGGGGAGGCCGCGCCGCTGCCAACGTCGCCTGTGGAGCCCGCTCCTTCCTCTACAGAGCTGACGGCGTCACCCATGCCCCCTGCACCGCCGGGGGTGCTCACCGTCGACACGAGCTCCCCGTAGCCCTACGGGGGAGCCGTATCTGGCGCGGCCCCCCACCACCGCCAGGCGCAACCGCCGCCCAACCCGAATCACGGCTGGTGGAGGACAAGTCGCTGGTTCTTGTCGAGGACGTCTCAGATGACGAGGACGCCTCGGCGCCCAGTTCGCCACTATGGCCTCATCCGGCGTCGAGGCTCGACATCTTCCTCGTGCACACCTCCGCGCCTAGCCCGTCGTCCTCTCTATCCCCCTCGCCTCCCCCTTCCACCCTGGGGACGGATCGATGGGGCGTCCCAAGGCTCGTCGTTGGGCGGATGAGGACCTTGACGACTCTGACGCGGAGAGGTCGTCCGTCACCTCCCCAACCTCCTACCTCGACGCTCCAGACATCGCCTTTGCTAGAGCGTGCCAAGCCACGCCTCACTCGCGGCAACGCTACTGCTGAGCGGGGCAAGTACCCCCTGGCTGAGGGCCCCCGACCAGCCAACGTCGTAGGAGGTGCGCACAACAGTGCTGCTGGTGCTGGCGTTGTGCACGGGCCGCGCAACCACATGACTTGCTACCCACGGCTGCACCCCTAGTTGGTGCACAGCCTGCCTGCTCGGCCCATGGATGGCCGTGTCCCCGCCCGACAGCGCCTCGGACGTCGTGGACGGGGCTTCGCCTGCCAGTGCATCTTCGCTCCGGACGCCGACGGCTGGTGCGAGAGCTCTTGTCGCAGGGGTCGTTAAGCGGTGCCAGAGGGGCACGCCCCGCCCGCACTGCATCGGCGAACCAGCGCCCCCCTACCCGCTATCCGGTAGATCTACGCGGGAAGTGCTTCAACTGTCTCTCCACCGCACACAGGGTGGCAACCTGCAAGCTGCCTCCACGCTGCCTCTAATGCAAGGGGTTCCGACACCTCGCGTGGGACTGTAAGCAGCGACGGAAAGGTGCCTCCTTCCGGCTTCGGCACAGCTGGTGCCCTAGAAGGCCGTCAACGACACCCTGTCCGAGAGCGTATCTTGGGCAACCGGCCGCGTACTCAGGGCAACATGTCAAGCACGGCTGGGGCTATGCCGGGTGCAGCAGCTGCTATGCCAGGTGCGACCACGTGCGGCAGCGGTGGGCGCAGACGGTGGAGGTGTCGAAGACGTCGGTGCCGACTGAACGGGGCGACACCGCTGCGGCAACGAGTGTCGCCACCGATAGTCATGGGCGATCGATAGGGGACGCCCAAACAGCATCAGACTTCACCTCGGTCGCTACTGGAACTGAGGCAAGGCACGGTGGGCTGACCAATGCGACGAGCATGGTTGAACCCGACCTGTTGACGCTCATGTTGTACCCGGGCGCCATGCAGGATCGCGACATCTCGGAGGACTCGATGGTTGAGGAGTTCGCAACCTCGCTCATCGGCAGTCAGATCATCGTGTGGCCTTCCCTTGAGCACCTCCCATCAACTTCGGTGACCCCCCAGCTTCCGGATGAGGCACCGGCAGTGGCGCCCCCCAGCTAGAGGATGCGGTAGCCTCCTGTGTGCTATGGACACCACCCCCACGCCCCATTCAGTGGGCAGTGGACTCATCGAAGACACACGCTGTCGGTGTAGAAAGTGACCAACACGTAAATATTTATAGTTTTGCCATACGTTGTGATCGGAGGTGGCCTAGCACTCAATGACACATGGTTTATACAGGTCTAAGCAAAGTGCCCTACGTCCAGTTTGAGTTGGTCGGTGACTTTATTCCTGAGCCCAGGTGCTCGAAGTTTGCAGTGGGGTTACAAATAAGAAGGAGAAAGATGGGGGTACAAGAGGTCCAGTTGGACTCTGGTCAGAGGGACCAAGAGTGATGGGAGCTCCGCTATGTGCTATGTGTTTGAGCGTGTGCTCGAGGTTTGAACCTGGTGGTTCTGTTGTGGTGTACTAGTGAACTTGATTGATCTGAATCAACTTATCTGTTGGAAGAGAGCGCATCCCCTTTTATAGATGAAGGGGATGGCCTTACAAGTGAGAGGGAGGGAGTACGTTCACTGCTAAGTCTTGCTACCCACGCCGACGGGTACAAGATGATGGTAGGCGCCTACAATACTGTTGAATGTCAGATGCACGTGGGAGGTCGCGTCGTCTTCTTCTGGTATGGCAGATGTCGGTACCTGCTATACTGTTGATGCCGAGAGGCTTGTAGTGGGTTTTACCATGTTCACCTAGCACGGAAAATGCCGGCGCCCACAACACTATCGATGCCTCAGAGGCACGTGGGGGGAGCCTTACCGTATTTGTCTGGTATGGGAGTTAATGGCGCCCACAACACTGTAGGGAAAATATCGGCGTCTACAACACTGCTTGCGTTCTGTCATGCTAGGGAGGTCGCAGGGTACTGTCCTACAGGTGTGCAGGGTACGGTCCTTGGTATTATGGTTGACTTGAGTCTGCTGCCTTACTTTCTCCATCTGTTTCTTGGTCCTTACTGAGCGGGCATCCCCAGTCGGTTGGTCCTAGTCGGCTCTGATTGCGCCAGTCAGAGAGGAGCCGTAGGTAGGGTTCCAACGCATTCCCGGTCGGAGAAGCTGGCTAGAGTCAGAAGTTGCATTTTGGCCAGGCCTTCCGGTCGGAGAGATCATCCGGAGGCGGGCTGGAGACCGAAGAGAGTGCTCCGGTCGGAGAGGTGGGCCAGAGTCAGAAGCGGGTGCCGTTCCTCCTCGGCTAGGCCTTCCGGTTGGAGATTGGATTGTCCTTCTGGCCTATCGTCTAGGTATTTGGGCCGG